ACGGAAAATTAATAAAAAAATATGAACTCAACTCAGTGGTGAGACCAGATTGTCCACAAAATTGGTTTCTATCAGAAAAGCTTAAGTTTCAAGGAATAAGCGTRGTCACAACAGATTTCGTTACCACTATTGAGAATTCTGTCCGTACAATTAAAGTCTAAAGTCTTTATGTTTATTCCTCCTTAAAGCAAAAATCACTGGTGTTTTTTCCCTCTGTTAACAGAGCAATTGACAATAAATGTTTAAGTCCCATGCACTGTTTATCTGATCTACATTAAGGAACAGGTAAGTGAGGGGTGTGTGGTGGTGTTGAGTGTTTCTGGGACTTTTATTAAGGAGGAAGACATAATAAAAAATAAACCACCATGCTCTGCATACTAATGTGACACATTCATTGAAAGCAGAGAGCTCTACAAACGTGTCATCTTACAGTACAGCAGCTGTGTATTCTGGCATGAATGCATTTATGAACAAACAGAAAACAGGTTTGTGAGGAATGCTCACACATTCAAACAAACGTGTATAAAGCTTTGACTGAATGTTCCTCCTCAGTGAAATGAGACGCTTGTGAAGGAGTAGGATGGCAGCTGTSACTGGGTGGATCCTTTTATTGTGTACACTTCTCTGTGGGCAAGGTGGGCCTAATTACAACTTRTTAATTACACTTTATCTGTTTGTGCATTCTGCTTTAAACAATTAAATCTTATTTTTCTAAGTTTAGTTTTAAATTATGCTTATATTGAATGTTCAATGTCTTTTGACGGCAGCGATAATGTACTCAGGTTCTTTCTGTGCTGAACCTTTTTAGGCATGTGRGAAAATTAAATGTTATAAATGAATGTGCTGCAGTGTTCATTGTGCAAAACTGTTGCTTCATAGATTTGCTAAGTGAATTAATTACAAGTAATAAAAATAGTTAACCTCCTAAGATATGAAGTCTTGCATTGTGTGCATTTTTGTCTACATGGTGCCAAGTCCTGAGGAGGTTAAAGCACAGATATTTCTGGAAAGTTTTAGTTGTTTGACCCAAGTAGAGGGAATTCACTGATAACAACCAAAGAATAAAGTAACTTTTCTTTTAAACCAGCTGATACTACTGAATGCGTGGTAAAAGCTGCCAAAAAATGAACTGCAAACATAGTGCCACCTTGTGGTTGTTTTCCACACCGTTCCAACTAACCTGTCACTTTTCTATCTTTGACTCCTACAGAGGTGAAGACTCAGAGTGAGTGCAGTCTTATTCCATATATTCCACTGTATGTACACTATGTGTGACAGACTATAATGATGCACAATTAACTGTCTTTGCTCTGTCAGACTGCGGACAGGCTCCCCTCAACACAAAAATAGTGGGTGGTGACTCAGCCGCCGCTGGCGCATGGCCCTGGCAGGTCAGCATTCACTACAAATCCAGCCACATCTGTGGAGGGACCCTCATCAACAACCAGTGGGTGCTCACAGCAGCCCACTGCATTTTATCGTAAGTTACACTTCCATTTTATTCCAAAAAATGAGTTGATTTATCTGTASGCATTTAAGAAAGATTGATGGCAGACTTCAGTTCTGAAATAGACTACATGACTAACGTAGTATGTTACAAGACTAAGTGTTACAACACTTTCTTGAAGCACAAACATATAAAAAAAGGTTTGAGCACTTCCTTCTTGTTGAAACCTAAACTTGATGCTAACACGTAACACTGTGGTGTCAGGCTTGACTCTTTGACCATATAAGAGCGCTTGTTGTATTTCCTGCAAGACTTTCTCAACACGCTGTTGGGTCATGGGTTTGCACAGTTGTCTGACTTACCAGTCTGTAAAAAAATAATTAATAAAAATTAATTATTGGTCAAACATTTCTTAAAATTACATGCTTCCCATCAACCTTTCATACCCAGATTATAATTATAGATTATAAGATCATCTCAGCTAAGACAGTTACGTTCATTTTAATCAAAGCTTGAAAATAGTTTGATGCACAATCTCTTGCCGTGAGATGTTAAGAATATGTTGTGAATGACTTTCATCAAATTTTAATTCAATATTTGTAAAATTAACTGAGTTATGGCAGCCACCTTGAATTGTTACTCTAACAAAGTGGCTCAACACAGGTGCTTTATCTTGTTGTAGAGCTTTTTACAATCAACATTCACATTGTTTTGTTTTAAGGCAGTTAAAAACACATAATTAGGACAAGAGTGTGATGTAAAAACACTCTACTAAAGTTAACACCTCACAGCTGGTTTTATTTGCATGTCTGTGTGGTGAACACTTTAAAATCCCWGCTATTATTTTAACCCTGAGTACCAGTTTGAATGTTCAGTTTCTATTTGTTAAAGGAACTGAAATTTACATATACGCACCAGTTGTCCTGCTCTGATAGAGAGAATTTTTAAAAAGTTTATTACACTTTTACACTTTAAGTTGTTGTATATTATATATATAGCTTTAACTTTAGGAAAAAACTAAATGTAATACTAAAAAAGGTGTTTTTTCAAATTAAAAATTGTAATCTAAGCCTCACTAACAGTATGACTCTGTGTGGGCTGGATTGTCTTTGTTGTCAGTTTTTTTTAAAGTTTCGACACCAGTTGATCTCTTGACTAAGAGCGAGACCATTTTACTTTAAAAAAGGGAAGAAATAAAAAATGCAGTTCATGATGGAAATACTAGATGACTCAGAATATTCCTAATAAAAATGTTTGTCCAAAAAACATTTTTTTACTTCTTTACACACAGACAATCACTGAATCTGTGGACTCTGTACTTTGGAAGACAGACTCAGGCAGGCCCAAATGCTAATGAGGTTGCAGGCAGTGTGTCCCTGATCATCGTCCATCCAAAGTATAACAACACGCAGTACAACAATGACCTTGCCTTGATGAAGCTCAGCAGCCGGCTCACTTTCACCCTCTACATCAGTCCAATCTGCCTTGCAAGCAGCTCCAGCCAGTTCTTCGACACCACTTCCTGCTGGGCTACTGGCTGGGGAAGAATTAATCCGAATGGTGGGGTAAAATAGCACTTTGTAGGTTTTTGAACTGGGCAAAATCAAACTCATTTTAAATATATGTATGTTTCACAGTGTCCCTGCCAGATTCCTCGGCACTGCAGGAGGTTCAGAGTCCAGTCGTCGGAAACAATCAGTGTAAATGCACGTACATCCCAACAGGCACGCCCATCACTAACCAAATGATTTGTGCGGGAATACAGGACAAAGGCACATGCCAGGTGAAAACATTTGCCTACTAGCGTAACATCTGATTTTCTTGTTAACAGGGATGTCTCGATAACTTTTTTTATTAAATCAAGTACATTTGGGTACTTGTAATCATGATACTGAAAAATTATTGAGTTAGAACTGAAACATTACACAGTAACTTTAAGACTATACTTCTCTTATTTAGAACAAGGTCTCATTCCTTAGAGGTCTACATCCCCTCTGACTTTGTCAAACTAAATACACAGCATGACACTGTTGTAAAATTTTAAATGAAATGAAAACAAATGATTTTTTTCAACTTGTATGAATTTTTAAAACTTTTACATGAAATGTAAACTGTAACACATTCAACACCAGTATCAATACTGGTACTGGTACACTGAGTATTGCGATATTTTGTGCGAGTACAAGATGGTATTTACCGGTACAGTCATTTCGCCACAGGCACCACAACTTAACATGACCAAAGCACGTCTGTACAGTAGCTCAAAAAAAAATTAAACAAC